CAAGATTCCCCAGAAAGAGTACTGGCCTGCACAGAATGTGACAGTTTCCCCAAATCCTGCACAAGATTCTCTAGAAAGGGAACTGAACTGTGCGGAATCAGGCAATTGCACAGATGGCATCTTTTTTTCACAGTGTTCCCCTAAATCCTCCACTAGGTTCTCCAAAAAGAGCACCAAGCTGACCTTGGTTAGATTACTGCAAAGACATCCATATAGCCACCCTTTATCTTGATGACTGCACATTTAATTTGCCACTGAACACAGTAAGAATAAAAAGGAAAACAGACTTGCAAATTATACAGAAGACTGTGACTGTCCAACAGTTTTAGAGTGGTCTAAAAAGTCCAGATAGGCGGGATAGAAATAAAATGAATAAATAAATAAATAAATAAACATGTTAAAGTTCCTCCGTAGGAGAACTTTGTTTTTACAATGAAAGATACTAAAATTGTTTTTCAGAGTGAGATCCATCTTAGTCTGTGTCAGTGAGAAGAGGAACAAAAGATGTAGTGTATATATATTTGCTAAGTTTGTGGTAAAAACTTTTTTGTCTCTCATATAATCCCTAAATTTTCTATATGGTATGGAAAACCGAATAGTTTTATGTTTATTTCAAAACTGAATCAGGAAGAATTTTAACTCAAAACAATGGCAATACAGTTTCTTTGGCATACTGCAAATATCATTCTTTATTTTGTACCATCTCTTCAGTTAAAAATAAAAAGGAAGAAAAAAAGGACATGAAATCATGGCACTTTTGTACATTGTGCATCATCATGGTACTGTCCTTTTGGTTCTTCTCTTAGCTTTAATTTCCAATCTAATGTAGCATAGTTACAACATTTGGGATTGTTTACCTTTTTTTAAAAAAAAAAGAAAAAAGGCAACATGAGATGATGGAAATATGTAAGTTATGTGTGATATGGAGAAAGTGGATAAAGGGAGTCTCTTCCTGTTTCATGATACCAAAATTTATAGTAGTGATAAGAAACTGAATGGCTGGAGATTAGACAAATACAAGACATTACATTTTCAAACATAGTTAAACTGGAATTTTCTAGTGCAAGATATAGTGAAGACTTTCAAGTTGTGCATCTTTAAAAGGGATGCTAAACCAATGTACTGTCAATGGCTGTTCGTGAGGTATATATATTTACTCTGGTACTAGAGGCAGTATGCTTCAGTTGTTGGAGAATGCAAGCATGAGATTGTTGTCATGTTCATATCCAGGTGACTACTATAGGAATAGAATACTGAACTAAATAGGCTTTTGGTCTGTCACATTTTCAGCTCTTCCTGTGTTCAACCAATAATCTAACTGGAACGCAGAATTATTTTTTCCTGCAGATCATCATTAGTAAATTTGACTCAGGAATACATTATCCATTCTACAGAACTTCTTCCAGCTTTCTGATTATAATTCAAACAGATTTGGCTCATGTGCTTTAAAAATTCTCTCCTTTGTATTAAGTTCTTCCATTAAAAATGAAATCAAAGGAACCCCCATGTAGACTTAATTCTTTATCCCTTTCCAACTTTTTTTTGGGGGGGGGGACAGTAAATGCTGTAAAAAGTGTTGTTGCAAGCCAAACACATGGATATGGATTTGTGCACTTGGTTTTGCAAAGTGATCCATATCTATATTTCTAAATACATTAATTTGGACACCCTTTCTTCTGCCCTCAACAAGTGCACTTGGAGGAGACAAGAAATTCTATACTGGGAAATACTCTTAAGTTAAAGTATTTCAGGATCCAATCAAATCTTTCTCCACCAAATCTGGTGGAAAGACAATAGATCTGATTAATCTCTACAGTCCACATCAAGTCTCATGACACTTGGCACATAGCAACTAAACCTTACTAAACTAATTACAAAAAAATAAATTGATTAAAATTTATAAATTTAGGATTGTTATTTTTAATACTGGCCCTGCTGGAAGGAATGCAAATTTATGTTTATTTACATAATGTACCAGGGCTTGGAACACAAATCTCTCTTTTAAGAATTTGCACACCTGTAAGACATATATCTGATATTTCTTAAAGCAGGAATGAATCATAATTTTATTCAGTGAGAGCTAAATGAAAGCTTAATAATAAAAATTCAACATTGTAATAATTAAAACACATAAAAATAAGCAAGCCATTACCTTTGATGCTTGCCACAAAATTTACCCATACTTCATGCAGAATGTGGGCTTTTGCAGTCTGTCCAGTCAATTATGAGTGAAAGCTGAGAGCTGATTTGTTGGCAGATATGGAAGGGTATGGATAGAAAGGGAGAGAGATGTTCCAGTCACAGGAATAACGATGATTAGAAGGTGGCGAATAAAATTTCAACTTACCAGACACAACTAAAAACAAAACAAAAAGAACAGAAAACATGGAATAAATAAATTCAAACATAAAATGAAATAAGGCAAAATGAATGTGCTTCTAATTATATACTCCACTGTGTTGGTGTTCATTCAGAAAAGAGCAGTATTTAATTAATAACAATAATAAATATAGGTTAAAAGTTATTTTAAAACCTACAAACTACTATTCATCAAAATACAGCTATCAAAAGAAAAAAACATATTCATGATATACATGAAACAGCATGGAACAGATGGAACTACATAGATTGCTCTTTCCAGCTGTAGAGAAAGCTCAATTCTAAACATAGAGATGTGAAGCATGAAAAATGGAGGAGATACAAGAGATATGCTTTGGTGTGAAAAAGATCATCCCACTGAGCAGAGTACATAGACTTCAGCACGATGCCACCCCCAACCTGCTATAACATATGAAATAATTTTCTGCTACACACTACGCACTGATAAACAGTAAAAAATGCATTATGATATATCATTTGTTACCTAATCTTTGGTGTGAAAAAGATCATCCCACTGAGCAGAGTACATAGACTTCAGCACGATGCCACCCCCAACCTGCTATAACATATGAAATAATTTTCTACTACACACTACGCACTGAGAAACAGTAAAAATGCATTATGATATATCATTTGTTAGCTAATCTAGGAATAATTTTCATAATCATCATCAGTGCTCAAGGCAATTATACTCCCTGAAAGCAAGATGGGGTAAATGCTACTCACTGTCTCTCTCGTACTGGGCAGAATTGCCTTGTTCACTAAATAACCAGCCTTTTCCACCATTTTCAACAGAGCCAATATTATTATTCCTTTGCTACCACTCAAAACATTTGCTGGCCACACAATAAATGATCAAAAGGCATTTCTACAAGAACTAAACCTGTAGCTGGTACAGGAAGATTCTCTTCTATTGTGACCAACGGGAGGGAAAGTAAATCCCCACCCTTCTGAGGGGACTGAGGACAACAAATAAAGGCTTCCTTCTACCCTAGCCACCTCTAGGCAGCAGGGCTAGGGATGAGGGCATGGATTTCCTACATCTTTCTCTGGGACCTTACTTAGGGTTGTTGTATCAGCAATTTCTTGATGGTTTGGCATTTTGTCACCAGAGGGGCTTGGAAGGCTCACTGGAGGAAAGTGAAAGTTTAAACTATGTTATAACTTTAAACTATATAGTTTTAAAATTTTTTTCTGTAATCAGTAAGAATATCCCTAAAGCACAGGTAAAGGTAAAGGTTCCCCTTGACAATTAAATCCAGTTGTGTCCAATTCTAGGGGCTGGTGCTCATCCCTATTTATAAGCCAATGAGCTGGTGTTTGTCCATAGACATTTTCCCTGGTCATGTGGCTGGCATGACTGGACATGGAACACCGTTACCTTCCACCGAGGTGGTGCCTATTCATCTACTTGCATTTGCATGTTTTCAAACTGTTCAGTTGGCAGGACCTGGGAGAAGCAACAGGAGCTCATCCTGTTGCACAGATTCAAACTGTGGGGAAACTTGTGACCTTCCAGAAGTTGTTGGACTGCAACTCCCAGTAGTGAGGAATATGGGAAAGGACAGGCCAGCAACGTCTGGATGGTGGGGAAAATTTACAGAAATAAAATGAAATCTAAAAAAATAAATAAAATAATAAAAAAGTGAGCTTGCTTTTGTGAAAATAACTGTTTCAGTGAATAAATTGAATTTATTTATTTATTTAGATTTATACCTTGCCCATCTAGATAGATAGTCTACTCTGGGCAGCATAACAAAATTTAAAAACAATAAAACCAATAACATGCGAAAATCCAAGATGTAAAAATATAGATATTAAAATACAGCAGGAGGGAAAGCCTGCCTAAATAGCAATGTCTTTAGTTTACTTCTAAAGACACCCAGAGAGGGAGCCAGGCGGATCTCTACGGGCAAGTTGTTCCAGAGGTGAGGGGCCACTGCCAAGAAGGCCGGGTTCCTTGTTCTTTTTTCCTTCCAGGCCTCCCTCAGCATTAGGCCACTTAACTGCCTGGCCTGGCTAGAACGAGTATCCCTGGTAGAACTGGGTGGGAGAAGGCGCTCTGCCAGGTATCAAGTCCTAAACCAGTCATATCCAATTAGGGCTTTATAAGTAATCGTAAGAACTTTGAAATCAGAGTGGAAACGAATGTCAACCAATTCAAGGTGGCCAGTGTGGGGAAAATATGTTGGTGCCTCTGAATATAATATACAATGGTGCCTTGCAAGACAAATGCCTCGCAGGACAAAAAAACTCACAAGACAAATGGTTTTGGCAATTGGGTTGATGACTCGTAAGACAAATGTTCCTATGGCTGTGCTTCACAAGATGAATGCTTTCCGTTTTTTGTTCCTGCCTCATGTTTGCTGATTTTTAAATGTTTTTCTATGATGTTTAAATAGTTGCAGTTTTTTGATTGGCATTTTTTAAATCATCTGCACAATATGTATGGCTTTAAAGAGCACTTAATAAACCCTTTGTAAACCAAATTTGACTTTGTTTGCCCACAGGAACACATGAATTAGATTTCAGTTCATTCCTATGGGAAAACGTGTTTCACAAGATGAATTTTTCACAAGATAACATTAACCGTGGAATGAATTAAATTCGTCTTGCGAGGCAACACTATATAATATAACTCTGAAATAATTTACATAAGATTGGATTGACAAATTGTAAATGTCAAAGTATAGTATTCAGGTTTCTAGGAGATGTTCAACATATCTTAAGTCCTCATTTGGTTTTAGGCAGAGATTAAAAATAACTCCTGCAAGAGTATACTTTCCTAATTAGCAGGTAAAACACCTGCACCATGCTACCCTTCAATACTCTGAGAATATGCCATCTGTCAAAATTCATTAAGTGGGAGAGACACAAGTTTGAGTTCAATTAACAGTGTATGGGATGAGCAGCAGATAAATCATAAAATATAAAATGGATATAGAAGGCAATTAAAATACCATGTTTCCTGGATGTGAAACCATTTAGTATGTTGTAAATTAATGTATAAGACAATTTGATTAGATATGTAGTACCGACAGTAATAACTTCAATAGACTTTTAAAAAAATAACATTTATTCTGGATACAATATGGGTAGGGAGATTGCAAAGAGAAAGGTTTCTCATAATGAAAACTACAAGTCATTTTTACATTTTTACAATTCAGTTTTAGATTTCACTATAACATACACATTCTTGAAGAAGCTGGCAGTGGAATAGGATTGAGACTGAATGACAGACAAAGGTAAAGTTAAAGGTTCCCCTTGACAATTTTTGTCCAGTCGTGTTCGACTCTAGGGGGCAGTGCTCATCCCCGTTTCCAAGCCATAGAGCCAGCGTTTTGTCCGAAGACAATCTTCCGTGGTCACATGGCCAGTGCGACTTAGACACGGAATGCTGTTACCTTCCCACCGAGGTGGTCCCTATTGATCTACTTGCGTTTGCATGCTTTCGAACCGCTAGGTTGGCAGGAGCTGAGACAAGCGACAGGAGCTCACTCCATCGTGTGAATTCGATCTTACGACTGCTAGGCTCCTGACCTTGCAGCACAGGCTTCTGCGGTTTAGCCCACAGCGCCACCACATCCCTCTTGACAGACAATACACTTCACCAAATCTAGTAAAGATTTGGCCTTGCCTTTTATATGGTTAAGGATGTCCCCATATGATCTCATTCTTTCATTCAATGATTTAGTCCTTCTAATTTAGCCTGGAAGCACTTAGCGACTCTACACATGGAAATCACCAGATGGGCAATACTGAAATCAGATTGATTATGTTCTCTGCAGCCAAAGATGGAGAAGCTCTATACAGTCAGCAAAAACAAAACCTGGAGCTGATTGTGGCTCTGATCATCAGCTTCTTATAGCAAAATTCAAGATTAAACTGAAGAGAGTAGGAAAAACCATTGGGGTAGTCATGTATAATCTAAACCAAATCCCTTATGAATACACAGTGGAAGTGAAGAACAGATTTAAGGAACTCGATTTGGTGGACAGAGTGCCTGAAGAACTTTGGATAAAGGCTCGTAACATTGTACCGGAGGCAGCAACAAAAACCATCCCAAAGAAAAGGAAATGCAAGAAAGCAAAGTGGCTGTCCAACGAGGCCTTAGAAATAGCAGAGAGGAGAAGGGAAACAAAATGCAAGGGAGATAGGGAAAGTTACAGAAAATGAATGCAAACTTCCAAAGAACAACCTCTGGAATAATCTACCTCCTGGGATTCGCGGGGCTCCCTCGCTGGGTATCTTCAAAAATCAATTGAAGACATGGATGTTCCGGCAGGCCTTCCCGCCAGACAATTCCTGACATTCCTTTCCTTCCCCTTTCCACTGTTTTCTACTTTTGCAAAGTTTTTATTATTTTTGCTGTTTTATATATGTTTATTTTTCCAAAGAATAGGAAGGAGAGACAAGAGGGCCTTTTTAAATGAACAATGTAAAGAAATAGAGGAAAATAATAGAAAAGGATAAACCAGAGATCTGATCAGGAATATTGGAGATATTAAAGGAACCTCTTATCATGGACATGATAAAGGACAAAAATGGTAGGGACCTAACAGAAGCAGAAGACATCAAGAAGAAGTGGCAAGAACACACAGAGGAATTATGCCAGAAAGATCTGGATGTTCCAGAAACCCAGATAGTGTGGTTGCTGACCATGAGCCAGAAATCCTGGAGAGTGAAGTCAAGTGAGCCTTAGAAAGCATGGCTAACAACAAGGCCAGTGGAGGTGATAGCATTCCAGTTGAACTATTTAAAATCTTAAAAGATGACACTGTTAGGGTGCTACACTCAATATGGCAGCAATTTTGGAAAATTCAGCAGTGGACAGAGGACTGGAAAAGATCAGTCTACAACCTAATCCCAAAGAAGGGCAGTGCCAAAGAAAGCTCCAACTACCGTACAATTGCAATCATTTCACACACTAGAAAGGTTATGCTCAAAATCCGGCAAGGTAGGCTTCAGCAGCAGGTG